ATGGCCCACCATCTTCTATGAAACGCTGTGAAATCATCTTCAATACACGAAATTTAATGTCCTCGTGCCATAGAGAATAATAATTATAATAATTAATAATAATCACGCAACGTATTGTGGTCACATTATATTCATATTAGTATAAAAACATCGTGGTCACGATTTAAGGCATCTAAACACTAAATATTTCGGCTGGATGACCTTTAATTTGATATCAGTTTTTTTATTGTATAAATTACTTAACATTAAACTTATTTTTGAAAAATTCAAATTATTAATCTTTTACCCCTCGAATGTGTAGCAAAGCTACAAAACAAATTTTTTTGAACTGCATTATTTATTTTAAACGACTATCTATTAATTATACATTAAAAGTGTTTTATATTTTAAAAGTTGAGTGATCGAGACTGAGTAAAAAATCATAAATACGAATCGGTAAACAAATCATACGGAGTAATGCGCAGATTTGATTAAAAAAAAAAAAATAAAAAAAAAAATCTAATAATAATTAAGAAACGTTACATTTTGATTATTATTCGCATTATTTATTTATTTTTAATTCTCAAATAACAGTTCAAAAAAAATTTCCCAAAAACATAAATCTACCTCGAGAATTTGAGGATCAAGAAATAAAAGAATGTATATATATTATATATCCACAAAGCTGGTATAGTGGTATAAAGCCGTACTAAGGTACACGTATACAGTATAGCATATAGTAATACACAGCTCCCGCGACCGTGGTCGGAGCTGACGTCCCTCGACTTTTAATTTTTAATAATGATTTACAATTAAATATTACAATATAATAATTATAGCTATACATACGACAGTCATAATATTATATACACGTGCGCACGTCATCGGTTGAACGCCGTCGATTTTCATTTATCATCGTCGCCTCGTCATCGCAATAATAATACGAATAGCCGCCGTCTTGTAATTCCTGCTGCAGCGTGTACCCATAATACGTAAATACGCGTTATTGTAAAGTCTAAAGCGCAGTCGATTAACACCGAGGTCTTTTGGTACCTACATTATTATAATATAATTTATAGGAAGTATAAATATTAAATACACATTTATAACAGGCGTAAATACACGGACGAGACTTAATATTCGTCGTTCATTTATAATATTAATATTATTACGAATTTAGGACTGAGTTATTTTAAAATGTTTATCATGGTTGCATTATAGGGCAGTTTCTGCGTATGGCTATACTACATCCAAAGATTGACCGCCAAACGCACTAAAAATGAATAGTATTATTAAGTATTGAAAGTATTTTTTCGTAAAATATCTCATCAAATAAGTTACTAAAATTATTTTCAAGACGTTTTTTCTAACAGCTATTTCTATGCATATATATCTATATCTATATCTATATTTACCTATGTATAACTAAGTGTTATATGAAAAAGATGAACTAATTTAATATGAATAATACATTTTCTGATGTCGGTACTAATATTTAAAATTGAAAAAAAATGAATTTTTTAAATTTTGTTGGCATATTACCTGTGTTTTTTTTTATAATTTAAATCTGGTAAACTTTTTTGGCTCACGATTGTAATTGTAGTCTATAGATAAGCTTTAGAGCAAAAGGAATATAGGCATATAGCTAGAATAGTACAACTTAATAATAGCTAGGTTACATAATATTTAAAAAACAAAATTTATCTTGTACTTTTTATTTTTTCTGAGATTTAATAACATTTTTAAGCCTACAACACATTTAATTTAAGTATTTAACAAAATAAAATGTACCTCTTTAGTCTTTTTGATTAAATGAATAGGTTACTTTAAACTTGATACCTACATTTAATTATACAGTGCTAATAACCTCCCCCACCACAAAAATTTAATTTTAGATTTAAAAAAAATATATATTTAGTACGTAATCTTAATATGAATTTGTACGACTAAATTTCAAGAAATATATTTTACTGGAATTTGACACCGATTTGACGTTAAAAATGAATTTTTGATTTGTTTTACTCCCTCTACCAGTTACGACTCCTGATGAATAAAATCAATATTATTAGAATTTTATTTTGTTGGGTCATCTTTTGCACGTTGATTAGACGGGTTTGTTGGGACATCGTTTTAGATGGAACACAGCCCGGATGAGATATAGAAATAGCATCGTATCCGTACACACATACTCATATTTTTATTTTTGTATGTATAAAGATCAAAAGTAAAATGTTTAAGTTAACGTTTTTTTTTTTTGCACGTAAGGTTTATATTTTTTTTGAAGGTGAGTACTTTTATTTTCACGAATAATGACGGTTGTTCTTATTAATTAAGATGTACGAAACTCGTTATTTTACTCCTAATAGGATGTCTCTGTTTGTTCTCTCTGTGTTTGATCCACGTGTGCAGTATTGCAAATTTACGTTCATCAGACAAAATATTGTGTATATTTTATCCTTATTATCTTTAGTATTAGAGTGAATTGATCTATTTAATTAACCTATAATTACTTAAGGCACCACTTTTTTCTTAAAACCAAAATATTCGAATTACACTCGACCTCAAAAAATGTAATGTTCAAATTGCACTCAAGTAGTCAAGTTAGGTTATTGAACCTAACCTATACCATAGTTATTAAATTAATATTGGCATACCTAGTTAGTCAAAAATATTGAATTTGTTGTTTATGTTTAAAAAGTGTATTATTACAAATTAGTGATAAAATATCTGATAAAAAAGTATACGAAGAATGTATTAGTAAAATGTGGATGGTTAAACAATGCATTATTAATAACAACTATAGTAATTATAGGAAACTGGTAAAAATTTGTAAGATTAAGATAATTCTAGCTTAATGTCCAACAGAATAATTTTTTTTGTTTGTAATTCATACATGTTTTATTGTTAGCTTTATGTTTCATTTTCCTTAAGTTATTTGCATTTTGTTCACTGACTGCTCAAGCTGATCAATACGTATCAGTTATGCCGACTGGAAATAAACAGAATATCCCGGGCCGTGATTTACGTAATACATGACTTTGAACTTTTTTTGGGGATGCAATTTAAAACGACTTCGGATTTAATTGTAAATGGAAACAATACATTTTATTTAAATTAAAACATGTACGTGAATGGTTTGCGGGCAATTCTGAATTTCGAACATTACCTTTTTTGTTACCCGAGTACAATTCGACATAAATTTAAGCCCGATTCGACCTTTCCGACTATCGTGCTATACGCAGTAGACATCTACATGCATTAAACATACTAATTCACTGTATATTGACGGTGCTATTTACCATTCACGAATTTCATTATTAGTTTAATTTAATGAAACATGCAATATGCACAATGTCCATTGATATTCCGTACAATTTATACCCAATTTGTACAACTCGTCTGAAAATTAGTTGATTAATAATAATTATTGTTCAATGTTTTGCTACCCATGCACCCACCCACCCAGGTATGTATAACTGTCAATTTCTAACGGCAGTATGACAATCAAATAAATTGTTTATTAGTGTACAATTAAGTGTGTTTATCTGACAGATTTCATTCGATAAAAACTATCAAAATTCAATAGCGATTTTTTGTAAAACCTTCTATATGCTCGCTGTTCGATGCTTCACCGGACTGGATTAGTGAGGCAAGTTATAAAGTTTGTTAATTTGTACCGTCTGTTGTTTTATGTTATTGTAATAATAGTTATGTCATATTTTGGTGATAATATAATTATGATTTTGGTACATCAAATTGGATATTGGCACAATAATATGCTAGGAATCAGTTAACTTTTTGACATGATTTCTTCCTAAACACTGACGATGTCCCAAAAATTTAAAATTTCATCTGGAGAACATGCAAAGGCCAACTTCAAATAACGTAAATGCTAAAATATTGTGTTCTTGCATGCACAGAATATGGACAAACAGTAGGTAACGCTACAAGAGCAATTGGAAATTTATAGTCAGTTGTATGACGGAAATCAATGTTATTAATATTTTGTAATAAATACATATACCTGAGTATAATATGAGTCCAGCATAATATTCAGTGTCCTTATTTAAATATTTAAGTACGACGTAAATATTTTAGATTATAAGTAGGTATATGTTTGTATAATAATAATGTAGTTCTTGTAGATTAATGTATATTTTGTTTTTCGATGATCAGACGGACATAGAATGTGCTCCATGAGAAAATCCTGATAATGTGTTCTTTTTACTTGGCACACATATCTAGGGCATTGCCCGGGCATTTCTTAGAACGACCAATTTCCTACTCGGCTTGTATCATGTACATATAATAGGTAGATGCATCGAATTAAAATGTTATTCTACGATGGTTATCGTGATTCAATAACGCGCGATATGATATATAATATTATTATTATTGTCATTTATGAAGGTGCATAACGGTATGCGGTTAAAAGATTATACCGTGGTATAGACTCGTCGCCAAAGGGTATCGGGCTGCTGGACCACCGCCGCGTCGTAGCAGCGGCAGCAGCTTCCGTCGGCGCTGCAGAGATCCGACTCCCCTCCTCCGGCCCTGCGCGGCACCTCGTCCGCGACAACGTATAATAATAATAATGATAATAATAATAATAATAATACGCTCGCCGCACGACCCGCGTATTACAATGTCCCCCTTGCACGTATTTATTCTATCTATAAATTTGAAAGTAGGTAAAAAACTCCACTCGCGCATCTCTCTCTCTCCCCCCATCTCTTTATCACCCTCCCTCTCTGAAAAATTTTTTTTTCCCTCCGAGCCGTCATCGCACCGCCGCCGCGGTGTACCTACACGCGCGCGTGGCACCGTCTCCGGCAGCCGTTTGCTCTGCACAGTCAACGTGGAAGAGGAGATGTGACTATGTTCTATTTTTAGATCCGCGCCATCGCCGGCCTGCACCGTGCGATGGCCGCACTCGGATAGACAGCGGTGCAGCAGACGGAAGTTATTATAATATCAGGAGCCAGTGCGGTACACGCGGGACGAGCGCACACACGCGTCACACACACGCACACACGCACACACACACACACACACCTACACACACACACACACACACATACACACACACACACACATACCGTCCGGATCTCCGGCGGAGGCGTTCAGTTAATCGCGGTCACCTATATAGTTAACAATTTGATATTGTATAATGTTACGGCATCGACGGTACAATAATATTTTATAATTATTGGTATTTATACATCGGCGGGACATCGCATCGCGGCGAAGACGGCGGAAGAATTGAAATTTCAAATTTTGGTAAAAATGTTCGTGACCTGCAGCAGTCGTGTCTAGTATTCTAAGACCGCTCCTGTCGTCCGTGTGTGTATATTACACTGCATGACGTAATGTACGGTGTGCGGAAACAACACGCGTGGTAAGCTCAAAAACACCGCCGCCGCCGTTCTCAGCGATTTATCGTCGGAAATATAACGGGATTCGATCACACGGACACGGTAAACAGCAATACATGAATAACAAATAATATATGTACAGTAGAAATCGTTTATAACGACATCGGTTCAAGTGACACAGGTACACCGGGTTTAATGACCTGTCAAATTAAAGGTCTGTGAAAAAACTCCGAATATGTCGTATAGCATGTTGTCTTACATTTTATCGGTTGTTATGGCGTTCTTATATTGTAAAGTATAACCTACGGATCTAACATCTGACTTTAATTTTTGGTGAATGTAAATAGTTACTATTTTATTTATAACGATTTTAGTTATATTATAGTTCGAGTAATATTTTTTCAACGGTCTATGACAATGATAATAATTTTAATTATGAGCCATGTGCCAAAATATTGTACAACCATTGTTGAATTTATGGAAATTAATAATAGAAGTTCAAAAACAAACTTTGAAAAAGGTAATAACAGATTTGTATTTTTAAATGTGTCTATTATGTATTGGTACTTTACTTTCTAATATTATACATAATTAGATTGAACATTTTGTGATAAAAATATAATATAGGTTATGTACCTATACTGTTTTCTTTGAACTTTTTTAATTAAATGTTGGTTGTTATCAGTGTTATTACTATCGGTTATAATGACCTATTTTCCCGGTCCCTTGGACGTCATAATACACGATTTATACTGTATATTATATAATTTACTCTTATTATACATTAATAGGTACTAGTGCAACAATATGCTATCTACCGCACGTTTGATGGTTAAGTATATAATATGCTGCTTACAAAATTGTAGGTATCTACCAATATCTTTATTCTTCAGGTACCAAACAATATTATACCTGTATATTATACTCTATCATTTTGCAATAAGTCGATGTTAGTCTGTGTTTGTGAGTCGTGTGGATGATACGTGATTTAACTGTTATTATTTCTTAATAATATAATTAATGTTTCGGCTGCGAGCTATTAATTATATCGACATGGCACTCAAAATGAAGAGACGTACGTTTTTTATAAGGCCGTGATTAATTAGTTAACCAATGAACAAACGTGTACCAACATTAAAAACGAAACAGCTTGTGATGTTTAATTTAAAAGTTCTCAAAAATATTAGAAAACGATATTCAGTAGGAAATATTTTTAAACCCTTAATGTATTAAAAAAGAGAGCAAACATTTCACTCTGTAGGTACTTAAAAAAAAAAGCTTACAATACAAATGGAAAGTGCAATTTATTGTGGTTTGAATTTGGGTGATATCGCGTAGATACCATGTTTGGTACTGAATATTTAAAATAAAGGAAACACAAACCGTAGTGTGTAAAAATATTCAGACCAACTTACTATAAAAGTCGCGGACAATGGTACACCATCTATCGTATATATATCGAGACGTATTGCAAAGGTAGCTGAATTTCAAAAACGTGCGAGAAAATAGGAAGTATGGCATACCTATTAATTGTACAAATAGATGAATTCATTTTTGTAGATTGCATTAAACAAATAATAAGAAATTACGTTAGATCAAATATTTACGGTAGATAGCATACATATTATCGTACAAGTACCTATCAATACTATTATATACATACCTAATATTTAGATTTCTAATATTATTATAATATATTGTGACAACGGCGTTTATTTATCACACCGCGAGCGGTGCTGCAGAACAATAGTCCGTATAGAGGTGCTTGTACATATTATAAATGTTATAATAATGTAATACAATAACAGTATAATAATACTCGTCTATAAAGACAATATGTATTATAAATATATTTTACTGTAACGTAATCGAGTAATTGAAAATGTTTGTCGATGACCCACCGCTGTGCTGCTGTGGAAATTTGCCTAACTCTATATTATATTATTATGGTTTCGATAAATACCTATATACCATTGACATTATTTTTACGATCAACAGAGCTCCACAGTTTGCACGCGCCAACTTGTTCAACTTCACTCGAAAAACTAATTTGTTACATATTTGTACTCTAATGTTTCAAGAGAATTCACTCGGAGGTAGATATTAAATCAAATGATTGAAGGTATATGTACCTATTTTACTTATCAACAGTGTTTTTACAATACTTATAACACTTGTCTTATTTTATGGTTCGTGTCTTTTTAATACGTTTTGAAGTTTGTGAATAGATTGTAATTATTAGAATATTTTAGTCCAATTTAGCTATTTAGAAAATAAAACAAAATGTGCATTGCCTCCGTAGTCCGTACACTATCCGATACCGTAGCCAGGTAGCCTAACATACATGTCTAAAATAAGTACAGTCAGTACATAAGGTTCATTTTGTCATTTCAGAATAAAGAAATTATATCGTTCGACTATTTTTTTCTTTTTATAAACAATTTGTTTGCTATCGGAATCGTTAGATTCGTCACATTAACCCCGATGCATCGACATAATATTATTATTTCATAAAATATAATATTTATTATACATTCCAAATCGGCTATTATGAAAGTTTAAAATAATAATATAGAATACTTAAGCCAATGTCTTGAGTATTAAATATATATTATATCATCATTTAATGATGTCTTGTCATTCGCAGGTCGGTGACGGTCTATAAGCCATTACCATCTTTGCCTACACGCAGCACTATGGCACACTATGTATTATTATGTAGCATGACCCGGTTAGGTACATATACATATACAATAACACCTCGGCACGCGTAGTGGTAGGTTCAACGGGTTGTCGCGTGGCGTGATATTATTTTTGGCTGCGTACAGTATAATATTAGGTTTTGTTCTAAACGATTATACATAGGTATATATTATATATATATATATATATATTTAATTTCACTGTGAATAACATTAACGACGATGATCTCTCGAGAGAAAATTGTTCAACGTGGAACGCGTGACGTGGATTATTTATTTTATACATCTATTATTATTAATATTATAAACCTCAGTTTTCTGTACAACAGTTATTATCAATTATTATTTGTTAGTTATTATAAACTTACTGCTTCTCATCTGACTATGTACAGTATAAAAATGTAATATAATATTTGATATTGCAATTATTATGGGGCAGCATGGATTGGAGAGTTGAAAGTTCAATTTTATAATTGCAGATTGCATAAAACATTATATGATTTCATATTATGGTTATAAATTGGTGTGCAGCCTAAGCCATTTTAACTGTTAGAGTATATTTTATATTCTAGTAGGTACACTAACGGTTAATCGGCAACTAGTTACTTCGTTGCTAAGTCCTTATTATGATCAATATTGTATGAATTACAACAAAATAACTAAAATTGTTAGAAGAAAATTTATTATTCGTTTAAATATCCAATTTAGTCAAAATTTGAATGTCGATCAATTTTTAAAAAGAAAAACCAAAACTGTTAGATGAGAAATCGTTATTATTTAAGTGCGTAAACGCTCATAAAAATTACCTTCTATATTTTTATAAACAAAAACATCTTACGGGAATCTTGTACTACATTTTTGAGCCTTACGTATAAAAATTAAAAATTGTACTCATGAGCTACGAGAAAATAATTTATACATTTTTCAAAAATTCAACTTTGGGTGTTTTTAGCACATGAAAGTGTTCGAATTTCAAAAATCTTTATAAATTGCTCAAAAAAATCTAGAATACTTTTAAAAATATCATGACTAGAAACTGCTATTATAAATATTTGGTACACATTTCAAGTATCTATGGTCATTTCTAATTAATTTTTGAATTATCTGCAATAAAGTAACATATTAGATTTTGTTAAAAACTTGCATTCTGTAAATATTTACGTTTTTCAGTTATATTTTTTTTAGTTTTTCCCGAATATTTTGAATATTACAGGAAATACCTACTAAGTACCATCTAAAACCGATTTTGCTACCAGAACTGCCTTCCAAATTGAAACATTTTTTCTACTCCAATAGATGATGACAAACCCCCAAAAAATAAAAATAATATTAACGAACATAAATACATAATCATTGTTAGTCTAATACTTTTATCGTTCGGCTGAGCACGCTCAGAATCAAAATAGAAATACGTGAATGAGTTAAATATTTTGCCCTAAAACGGTGGGTCCCTGCTATTTCATAAATGCATCCATACAATTGATACAAAACTGTCATGATCGGAGAAAAATGACGAATATTCAACTCCTACCGCGATAGTTATTATTATCTTTAATGCCCGCTATACAGAGGGTCCACTATATTAGAACGCGTCCGCTGTCAAGTAGATTATGTGCTATATAAAAGATGGGACATTTAATTTATTAAACTGCTATATTAGCTATTACACACACACATACATAATATATATAATATTATATTTACAATTTTCTATACAACGTTGTAATAGTAATATATAATATTATAAGCTGTGGAATTACCGCTAGTTTGTCAGTATTTGGTGGCATGGCTAGTATTTCGGTACCATATGAGTTGTTATAGTCGGTACACCGCAGCTGGCGTTAGCGAACAGATTTACGATCCGAACGTTAGACCAAAAAAACATATTACACTTAAACTATATATTACTATATACACTGAACCCCTCGTCAATCCGGTCCACTAGAATCTAAATGAAATGACTTGTGAAAAGACTATTATTGTTAAATGCCAGTTTTCGTTGAGTGTTGACTCAATATAATTAAAATCGGATTGCGTGTAATAATTTTCCATCAAGTCGGGTTGACGACTCGACGAAAATACGCCACACTTATAAGTTATAACCACTGGCCACAGCGAAAACATGAGACCATTCTATTTTATGACAAGTTGTAATTGTGCTGAAATCAAATATCAAATGTATCAAATGTGTAGCGTGAAAACTACGGAGTAAGGCAGTATAACATAGGTATAGTGCAAGGAAGTGGCGTAATTTGGTCGGAGTATCAAAGCATTAACATGTTGGCAACACGATGGGACTATAGGGTCTACGTTTAAAGTTCGTAGCAATAAGAATTTTTTAGAAGAAACCTAAGACGACCGGCATTACCGGATAACTTATGACCTTTTGACTGGTGTTATAGGTATTTGTTTCATAAATATTAAAAAGTAATAACTATAATATTTTAATATTCAGATATTTAAAGTTATACCTCCTGCAGTATATTCATTATATGTTTTATATTTTGAATCGTACATAACACTACAACTTAGTACAAAATCGTACCTTAAAAAATAAAATTGTATTGATATTTTCAATTTTGTATATTTTCTTATATTAGAATGTGTTAAGAAATAAAAATGCATTTTTACTGGTAGAAAGTTATAAAATAATCACTTTATAGTTTATATCATATTTTATTATATACTACTGAAGTTTAAGTACATCCCTCTAAATATGATTATTTCTTTTTTTTTAATGGATGATTGATTCTACCAGTCAGGTATTCCAATTCTCTTTCCCCTTAGGCCTTAACTAGGTTGTTGCAAGCTACTTGCAACTACTGATTAGTCCTAATAACAATATTACCTATGTAGGCCGCAGGCAAACCCACAAATTTATTATTTATCACAACGTTATACGATCGTATATTGTATAAACTTACTTAACCGTATATACTATTATACATTATATATGTCCACCGAAACAGTTAGAAACGATGAAAATCAAAAACCTACTACCAGCCAGGTTAATTACTACTGCAGAACATATTATTATTGCTTCCTTCTACCTGATAAAGTAATGTGTGTACCCAGCGCGTATTATCCAAGAATATGAATCGTGTCGTGAGATATTTCTGTTGTGGCCTTAGATTCTAAAAAAAGTATTAGACTCAATTAATCTTATTTTTACTTTTTGATAGGAATGTAAGACATTTGTTTTACCAAATGTTTTACTATGTTCTCTCATTGCCGTGAACCGTATTACCGTCAGCATGTTTTATAATTCAATTTGTAAAAAAGATCATGATTTTGAAATAGTCTTATAACTTATATGATATTCAACGAACGTTATTCATAGTATACTGCACATATATATTATAGTGTAACATATAATCATGTCAGTTAATCAAAAAATCAAATTTATTTTGATTTATTTGGAAAATGAATAACGAAGGAAATTGGATTAAAAATCGAAACTAAATTAATGAGCAAATCGACTTAAAAAAAAATATTATAATGCATTCAACATATTTTATAAATCATTAATCATAATATACACATATATATATATTATACAGTATTATGCTCATATAACTGATTCGTTAGCACATTGAAAACAAAAATATGAGTGTATCGTGAATGTTTTGATATATACCTAGTGGACAGCTGTTGTTTTTACAGAGGATGATCTTTTTGCTTAAAAAATAAGTCTTAAATTACAGTAAGGTATTCAACAAAAAATGCAACCTTTAACCTATCTTTATATTAAGTGATCTCAACCAAAAATCTGAGAGTTTTCCAACTTTCCACCGGTCTGCACACTGTAGGTATACAAATGTCAAGTTACGTTTTTCTGTAGAAGAAATTCCACTGTATAATTATATAATATATGTGAGAAATGTACAAATCATATATTTTACATTTATCTGCAGTCACGAGTCTCGAACGTATTATAGTATAGGTATAAGCCAGAGGTATTCAAACTTTTTTATCACACGGCTCCTTTAAGTCTTCACAAAATGTTAACGGCTACCAAATTATAAATGACAAAAAAATCAATGTTTATATGAATGTAATTTATATTTTATTATTTATTTTTATTATTTATTTACCATATTACATAAATCAAAAAATTAAAGCTAAATTTAGCCAATGATTGTTGTAGACAGTTCAACGTTTCCCAACCGGTGTGCCTCAATGATAATAGTAAACATTTGTTGTAAAAATATTTATTGGTTTTCAATTATACTACGCGGCTCTTCGACAACTCCAGCGACGCCCCTGGGAGCCGCGACGCACAGTTTGAATACCTCTGGTATAAGCCATAAGGTATATCAAAATAACTAATCGAACGACGGAGGCCGAAGGAACAGACTCAAAATTTTGAAAGAGCATTTTTTCCTTCAACTTTTCTTCGAAGGAATTCTGCTTTGACTCGTCAGGAATTTAATTTCGATTGATAACACACGAGGAAAGGTGGTGGGGACGGCGTTTAAATTGCATTGTTGAGTTTGAGGACTTATGTATATTATGCTTTTACGTTTAAAATAAAACCCGTGGCTTCAAGTATGCGTACGCAGTCTTTTAGTTGGAGTGCATTAAGGTGCAATTACATGTTGACGAGTACTTCAAAGCGTAATATTTAATTAGAGTTATAGACGTGAGTTGAGTATTACATAACATATTATTATTACACTTGTGTTATATTAAATTAATAATATATTATGATATTACCTGGAAATAATTATCACTGCCGTCAAGATGATATAGGCCATAAGAGCATGTTGGGCTCCCGTGGCTATTTATAATTCAACGAATCATAAAATAAAAAATAAGTATAAATCCAAATTTTTTAAATTTAAGCTGCTAACTTATATACGGCTCGTAAGTTGTACAGGGTGGTAGAAAATGTGAAGACAATTTAAAAACAATTTGTATGAAATATTTTTTAGTTCAAATGTACTGAAAAATATACTTGCGTTGTATTATATTTAAACACAAAATTTTTTTAAAAATCTGATAATAATTGACCGTCCCGTAAGTCCCACCTGAGGGTAGAAGGCAATTACACGAATCTAGGACGCCCCCTCCTCATACCTTACCCTTATTAATCTGGCGTTTCAAAATCTGTGGGTGGAAATGCACAGGGGCCAATTACCCACTCCAGTCTCCTCCTGAATATGGGCGTAATATACATTTTATGATTGACATCTATGAGAATATTGTTAAGCCATTTTCGGAAAACCTAGCTCGCGCGATAGAGTTTGTTTAAGCGTTGAAGAACACATAAATACTTAATGCACTCCCGCTCAACAGAGTCTATAGAACCCGAGTGGGCACTTGACTTAGAGATAGTCGTGACTCATCGATATAATTAAAGTATAGCACCGAAGAGTGCAATAGGAATACGTGGTAATTTACTATCGGCAGTTACCATCGCTGTACCGCGAATCGCAATATTCCGATACTCGCATACCAAGGTTCTGATTTACACGTGTTCTAGGTGAGGAATCTGTCGTGTGCCAGCAGTACGCGGCGCGGTGATCATCCGACAGTCATGTCACCGCACTTCAATCAACGACAGCCGCCGCAATACGCCTCCCGCAACGACGACGGCGACGACGACCACAGTTGTTACTACCACTCCGGTTCGTTGTCCGGTGTCCCACGCGTCGCCAGCCCAACAACAATCGCCGGTCAACAATATTTCGGAGCAGCCCCGATAACTTCCGGTTCACCGCGCCGATGACGGCGTTGTCATGACCGACCGCCGGTACAGCGGCAGCTGCGGAAGCAGCAGCAGCAGCAGCAGCAACAACAGCAACAACGGCTACAGGTGCGGAATCAAAACGCAACTGCATGCACCGTCGTCGGGCCGATGTAACTACCACAACAACAACAACAACAACAACAACAACAACAGTTGCAAAGCCGGTGTCGTCCGGCCGACGACGGCCGCCATGCACTTAAAGAAAACGTGGAAAACCGCCGCGGTGATGTTTCTGGCCGTGGCCACCGTCACCACGGTCACCGCGGCGTTTTACTTCAATTACGCGGCGACCGCGTGTTGCGCGGTGGTGCCGCTGTCGTCTTCGTCGCTGCTCCAGGAACCGTCCAACACCGCGGCAGCTGACAACGAGCCAAGCCGGTCCAAGTTGATTGGCCCTTCGGCTCCACGCACGTCCAAGCTGTACGCCGTGTGCGAAACCCGCGATCATCTACGCAGCCCCGCCGACCGGGTAAGTACCAGAATTTATAATTCGTAGCTTTAACTGCGTGCCGACGGACGTCGATTATCGGGGAACATCGTTCGCTTTTTGAAAATATTTAAGTAAAAATGGCTGGTGACGTACACCATTGGATCGTTCTTTTTCATTGCGTATACGTATAGGTATTATGGTGATCGATAATATAGTTACTACATCTGTATAGACGACGACGATCGCGACGATGGCGACCATTTTGCGTAAGCCGGCAATCGGCATGATACCTAGGTAGATATTATGTTCATCGTTGTATTCATTCGTCGAGGTCAAATCGCACTTATATATTGCTCAAATCATGAGACGATGAAACGTAGTCTTGGGCCGACCGGCGACTGCACGCTGCTCTGCGTTTCGTGTCGAGTCGTGTTTTTACCATTTTCAATTTTAATATTTGTCTATCGTATTATCATAATGCTATTAAATATTTAGTTACCACACCGTCCACACCACGCAAAACTTGAAATATTTCAACTTCACGGTTAGGACGTTTGGTTTGGTGAGAATCTATCGATTTTACCATTTGGTACTTTTTTTTCGTCTCAGGTGAAATCGGTGATCGGTCACTATATAGGACTATATCCCGACATAATATACAACCTTGTCTCCAATTATCCCTACCCGATGCTTGTATACTATCCAATTTGAACCTCCTCCTCCTAATGCTTCCTTGGTCAATTAATTGTTGAAATATATAGTCACCTAAACTTTGGTTGATTTAAATTTTAGCAATTGTTTGGGGGTTTTATCGATTCAGCCGGTTTTATATCAATTCCGCCGGCGTTTGATTCAGCCCGGTATTTATTTATATTGATTCCGCCGACTGTTTATTAAACAATAACCAATAATATATCATATTATACTGTTTTTTTTAAAAATTTAAATAAAAAAAATTCAAACATTGTCATCCATCCACAATGGAAAATATATCACAATTTGAGTACATATATTATGGCAAAAAACAATTAAATATACAATGTAAAGTTTGTTAAAATGGTAAAATAACTAGTGATTGGTTTTTTTTTTATATTTTGAATGGTCTTCCCAATTCATCTTCTCATTTCCATTTTAATTGATTTGAAAATATGTTTTGTTTCTTACAGATTCTAGTTGATTTTCGTGGTTATGTAAACTTTCAACTTTTATGATAATTTTTATTTTTGTACGTATATTATTATGTTTTGAGGTGGTAGAAATAGTATTTATCGAACCGGGAACGAGATAAGTAGGTGTGCGATGGGAGAGAGAAAATAAAAAGTAATTGTACTCAATTGATTTGTTTGAATAAACTGGAGATTTTTATATTAAAATTAAAATATGTTGTTCCAAGAATTCGAACTCGGGGTAAGAATAATATAATAGATTCAGAATAATATTCAGGTCGTCTATTATAAACATATAAATATACACACCACTCCTCACGGTTTCAATGGGAATAATTGACCATAAAAATAATAACAGTCTCTATAGAACATGGATTACGAATAAGTACGAAAGAACCTCGAGAGTGGGCCCATCGTGGACGTCGAGTTAAAACATTACATAATCTTAAAAATCAAAAAAATTATAGATAATCTTATAATGATTAAAATGAGAAGAAACATACCGGCCAGATAACGAATCTTTTTTTTTTTTATTAAAATGGAAACCGTGCTACCAATTTTGACTCATCAGCGGGAAGATCATTATAATATTACAAAAAAAAAACACACTACTATAATAATAATGGATCATTGGTTGGTCTCAGTCAACTTTCAAGGTTGGTAAACGGAAAATAAGTGACGGTCGATTACGCGACGGTCGTCTTCAAACAAGATAATATGTACAGTAATAAAGAGGGGTGGGGAAAGATGAATAATTTATAGAAGTAGTTATTTGTGAGCCTGTGTGTTTTGGTTATACAACAATTATAAGGTGTGAGAATTGTCGTGTAGATAGTATTCATAGCGAACAGTAGTGATCGACACGACTTAAGGATTTCTCGATAAAAACGGCGCTGTCAGGACAACACATAAAATTATTATATAACTCACAAATCACGCAAAAGATAGATAATATGAATAATGATTTTTTGCATTTGCATTGGATGTGACAAACTGAATAAAGAGGGGAAAGTAGGTGACCGCTCTGCTGAACAGTAGGAGTCGAGTGTACCTCGTCATTGAGTATAGGTCACAGGTGAAATAGTATGTGTGTTAAATTTGAATTCAATATTAAATTATTGCACGATTCTGAGCTGAGATGGTATGTCAGTCTATTGTTATACAAATAAATTGCTACTAGTTATTACTTATTATCATTGGCCAAAAAAAAGGGGGTGGGAGCACTGGGAGCTTGGCCCTTGGTGAGACTAAGTACAAAAAAAAATTTGGCCTTTTGCTCCTATACTTATTATTGCAATCAATTTCACTATTTATAATATCTAAAACAGACAAACGATATTAAATATAAATAGGCATTTATAAAATATCAATCTCAATATTTTGAAAACGTTAATGCGTATAGTAAAATACTGAAATATATATAACTAGGTAGGTATTAAACAAAAACGTTGAAGATCAGGGGATTTTGTCAAAAATTGAACTTAAAATGCTTATAAAAAATGTGTGCCTATCATGCACCTTTACTAATATCTACGATAAAAAAGGTATAATAAACCTTGTATTAAAATTCCAAACTTTTTACCGAGCAAATATTTTTATCGACATTTGTAGCAAAAAAAAAACTAAAATCAATCGAAAATGTAAAATTCTTATGAATAGCTCAAAAAAAGTCAAAATATTTTAGAAGATTTATTATGTACAAAAAATGCTAATAAAAATATTTTATGGTAATTTCAAGAATCTTATAGATTAATTAGTTTTTGAGTTTAACCAAAAAAACAAAATCGACGTCATCGTTAAAAACTGAATTTTAGAAAAAATATTCGTTTTATTAAATTAATTTTTGTTTTTTCCAATTATTTTGAAAAATACTGAGATTTTCAATTTTGACCTTTTTAAACTACCAATTATAAATCCTATTTGTCGCTCGGAATATAACATTTATGTTTTATGTTTATCTGCATAATGGAATTTTTATCAACCAAGAAGCATTAAATTGACTATAATATTATTACTTATATACCTATTTCCATTCCAGGGTACAGTTAAGCCGGGTTCCCTATATAATATATATATATATGCCTGGAAGTTGGAATGTACGTCGATAATTTAATTCTTTAGAAATATAGGCAAATAATTTATGAATAACGTTTCCTGATGACTAATATATAATTGACAAACACTCCAATAATTACGTAGTTGTTCGAGTGGACTGTTTTCCTACTTCTGGTTAAGTAATAAGTATATAAGTAAATAATTTCTTACTTAAACGAAATCGTGAACAATCGAAAAGCAAAATCTTCTCTCTACCATATTTTGTTTTATATAGATAAAAAAATCTACTTCTAAACTTTTAAAAAAATAGACCGTCCACTTTTGACCGCGTCTATTACCTATCTAAGTAGATTGATATAAATTTAAAATCCAACATAAACAAATTACATAGGTACCTTACTTAGCTGTGCACATTTTTTTAATAACATTTAACGTACCTATTTTATATTAAATTATTCATAAAATATAACAGATACGTTATGCAATTCATAGATCTACCTTATTAAGTATTTTGAAAATTGAATAATATGCCCAGATAACCTACCTAATTGCTATAAAAAACAATAGTGAAAACTGTGATGTAGGTACCATTATTTGCGCTAAGTGTTAGTGGCCACGCCGAGCGTATCGGTGGTGGTCACAATTTAAATGTTTGGTGTATAATATTACCCACAAATATATGCTGAAGAGTGTGTATTAAATAATATTTGACATACGATTTGGTGACTGCACAATTATATACACATATTATATATATATATATAAACATTAGGTGTTTGACACAAATACTCAATTTATTGCACACCTTCATAATAATAAAAAAAATAGTTCTAGTGTATAGTCGTGTTGAGTGTACCTACCTCGTAATTCAGTAGGTCACTGTTATTGTAATAGGTGTGTTAAATTTGAATTCAATGTTAAATCGTTTTAGGTACACGATAAAAAACGATTATGAGTGGAGACGGTCTGAGCTTTTATTTCTTACCCCTCCCCCCCCCCCTCAGTTCTGCGAGCGAAAAATTGTTATTGATACAATTTTTTAAAAACTAATAAAAATCTAAATTTTCTTAGCTTATAAAAAGCTCAAAAGAGTATAAATATTTTTTAAATAGTATTGTGCTTAAAAAATGTTAATATAAATATTTGGTGAAAATATCATGTATCTACAGTTATTATTTTTTTAGAGTTCCACTACAAATTTATTTTGCATGAAAATGCCTGTTTTTCATTATATTTTTTTTGTTTTTTTCCGGTGCTAACTTGAAAGCACTGACTAGATTCACTTTCCCTCTAGAAAAAATAATGAAGTTAAAAAATAAAAATCAAAGAATTATTTTGACTTATCGTGTACACAGATACAAAACACACACACATACACACACACATACACATACACATTCTAAAATCAATACATTCATTGCTCATTGTTACTTGAAAATTTTGAGTTAGAAGTATGTTTTATACATTATTGTTTGGTCTAGTCACTAGACTCTAGTGTTAATTAATTTTTTTAACCTAGAGAAACCTTTGAAGTGTCTTTAATGAGTGGCTTCTTTAATCATGTCAATCGGCAATCACGTCATTGATCAAATACTCTTATAATACATTGAAAGTAGGTACAATGTACATATGGTTTATATCTTAATTTAAATTTTAAAATAAACTTGAGTATTCTATATTTTTATAATAAAATATAGTATTTATTTATATTTATTTTCATTAGTATTTAGTAGTTACTGTTATAACTCTTAAAGGGATTCGATCCCGGCTGTGTTTTTTTAAAAGTATTTAAGAGTTTCAAATTCAATAAAGTGGAAGTATCGTTTTCAAGTAAACTTTATAAGCAATTTAAATTTGTTTTATTTTCCACACAAAAATGTTATCAGATATACAATTGACCAGAGATTGATACTTTAAGACAAAAAAACAAATTCTAAAATACATATCTAGGCATTAAACGGAAAAGTTGAAGTCCATTTGTTTTTGTCAAAAATTGAACATGAAATGCTCGTAAAAAAAGTGTACCTATCATGCATCTTTAATAATGATTATAAATATTCATAATAAAACATTATAAGGATTCCTGTATGAAATTTCCAAACTTTTTGACAAAACATTATAAATAATTTATGTTCTACTGTTTACGACCGCGGCCCTTTCTTGATATGTCGTACGTGTACGCGTGTGGTCCACTTCAGTCATACACACTTATGAGTTAGGACTTTTAGGAAAAAAAACAAAATAAAGCATTCTTAAAGCACATTATTAATATTTGCGTACATATGAAAGAGCCCTTCACTATTCAAATACTCACACGGCATACCTGTGATTTGTTACTACGCAAACATTTACACGACACACATGCACGGATAGAAAATTGCCTATATTGAACCTTAGAAACGTTCAGTATCGATTCCTAATATAAGTTAATTAGGTACCTAATGAATAACGATTTTTGAATACCGGAGAAATAATTAAACAAATAGTTTGTACAAATTTTAAGTGAATACATTTTATGTTTGGTATGGATACTTTTATGATTAATGATAAAAACACACTTATAAAAATACAATTTTACCTACCTATAACTATTCTTTTTATAGTTTAATTAGACCATTAAACTTGGTAAATAATAAATATTCATGAAATAGTTGTTTGAAATCATACATTTTTTATGATAAAGGAAGATTTTTTTCAAACTGTTGAAATTCCCAAGTACTTACTTCATACTTGACATTTTACCTAGGTAGATGTCAGGTCATCATTATTATAGTCCCCCTAAGGACACTCAAAATTACTTAAAATGTTACATGCCAACTGCCAAATCATAAATCTCTCAAGGAATGCCCAGCAACTAAAGTTTCTAGTGTTTCTACCCATACGTCCATATTATAAACAATTAAAAAACTGCATATTATTTATTTAATGTTTTCTTTATAGTAAAAAATACCATATTCAAATAGATATTTCATTGACCTTCTTAAATGAATGAAAAAGTTTTGTAGCTACTTAGATATTTATTTTTTTACTTTATAGTGATTTTGGCACATGTATAATACTGTATAATATACTTTATACCTGCAGTTTATACCAGTGGTTTCCAAACTTTTATAATACACGGCACACCGTAAACTTCAAACAATTTTCATTTTTTTAGTTGAACAATTCAATGCAATCGATAATTTATGGAAAAATCGAGGCACCCAGTTTGAAAACCACTGGTTTATACTATACATACAGTTGTCAGTTATTTGGTGTACATACTTCAGTGCTTATATAGATACTTACCTAAGTAGGTACAATGTACTTTACATAATGTATACATAGATACTGTGACAGTTTAACCAGTATATTAGATTATTTATAACCTAAGTAGTATAGAATACTATATTATTTTTTTCGGGCACTAACAGTTGCAATAATTATTAATTATACTTTATAGTTTATATTATTATATTACCTACCTGTCTAATATCCATAATACCTTATCATTGTTTATCATTAATAATAATTAACAATGCTTTATTTTTAGATTTATTATTTTAATTTTGTATTGTCTAATATATATTACTAGCTGTCTTGTCACGGCGTTGTCCGTGTATTATGTAACCATATAAAAAACCCTTTTACCCCATTAGAGGTCGAATTTTGAAAAATCCTATCTTAGTGCACCCCCATATTGCATAAGGAACCTCTGTACAACATTTCAAGTCTCTAGACCCAACGATTTGGTCTCGGCGTTGATGAGTGAATAGGGGCGGTCTCCTATAAGTATTTAGATATAATATAATATAGTAGATACCTGTACCTGACGTTCAAAGACAATCATTCAGTTGATATTTAATTTTTTCTTACATATTACTACAGACAAACCACATACACAAATGCTTATTATATATTTATATAGATTATAGAAGGATGCCACTAAAAATTCAACTGCAATATATTCATGTACCTATATACCTTTCATGTATTTGTACATTTTTTCATGTTCTTCATCTGATTCAGAACTTATTTCAAATTCACTTAAATTTGATTATTCAACGTATTTTGAATTATTTAACTAGTCGATTTCTTTTTTTCTTGTTTCTTCCTTTTCATCTTTTCATTTTTAAGCTATTCATAATTTTTTATTATACTAAGTATTTCATTGGCTGAAACCATACCACCCTGTATGACTAGTGTCTTTCTCCCTCTGAGCTATTAAAAATTCGTTGTCTTTCAGAATTGTCATAAGAATTAAAGCATCAGCATGAGAAATGTCAAAAATGTCATCAAAAGATATTTTATTCATTTTTTTTTTTTTTATTACCAATTTGTCTTTTTGCCCTTTTCTTTAATTGCCATGTACCATGTAGTTATGAATATTATTTATTTTAGTAAGAATATGGAAAACTAATTTTATTGGTATTCTAGCCTTTTCCCCCAAAAACCCAATGAGATAGTATTTTTTCTTTTATTTGCATATAAATAAAATATTTTCCTGTCTATTTGATGACAATTTGATACAATGCTACTCGTTAAACAATCTATTAGATTATCCCGATTAAATACGATAATACCATTGCAACTTTTTGTTGTATATTTTTATTAAAGTTAAAATATAGAATAAGAATATAATATAAAAATAACATATAGTCTATAAGTTATAACCTAAGAACCCTGTTTAATGTATGTTCTCAATAAAAAATGTATATTTTTATAAACATATTTATTAAATTCCGCGTTATGATGAAAAAATATTAATTATATTACAAGTCTTACAAGTCTTACAAGTCTACATAATATATTATGTTTTAATCATAAATAGAGAAAAAAATAATAATTACAAAAAATATTAAATATTTTAATAATTATTACATTTTATCATAACTACCTGCTCGTTGTGTAAGTCGTGACAAAAATATAGGTCGTAATAACCGTCAAGGGTCGCAAACAACAGTGGGAGTTGGCATCGTAGTTCACTAGTAATAGTCTAATACAGAAAAATGTCATTAATAGTGTACTTATTACACAATAATGTGGACGTTAAAAAAACATGTTAATTAAAAAAAAAATCTAATTAATTTTTAGACTTTATTCACTCATTTCGAGGTTTTTTGTTCTTAGTCGGACCAAACTTGAAGCTAGTTTTGGTATATAATATTATGGTAATTTTACATTTAAAAAAAACAAAAAAAAACATTATTTTAATATATCGTTATTCGTTATACACTTACACTGCTAAGTAGCTGACTCTATATCGGAGATGGCGAACCTATGACACGCGTGTCACAGAGTGACACGCTCACACTATTTTAGTGACACCCACGAATATGTAAGTTTGATAATATTAAAGTTTTTGAAAAAAAAATTGAAGGGTTATCAAACTAGTTGACATGCAGGAAAAACAAAATCCTATCAAAATTTTTATTTGACACGCTGTTACGAAAAAGTTCGCCATCCATGCTCTATATGATTTAAAATTAAGTGTTTTCATATTACCTATACAATTCGGTCAGGATTTCACCTTTGGGAGAGGTTGCTAATAGTTTGTTATGTAGAGGAGGTTCAATTAGGACCCCCCCTCAGTAACTGATTCACTACTTTTTCAACTAAATATTTATATGATCGATGTTTTTAATTATGTTTTCATAAAACTATATCGGTCTTTCAATCGGTCTTTCCAAATTTATACTATCTGTTCACGGTTCAACCTTCCTGTTCTACATCTACATCAAAATGTAGTCACAAAATAGATATATGGTAGGTGTACAAATTTAGAAAGTATAACCGCAGTTAAATCATAATCAGTATAATTACGATTGGTGGGCTGTGGACCACTTGTTGGTGTTGTGGGTAGGTATACACTATACAGTATACCTGTTTAAAAACAAAATCCCAAATTTAATCTCACCAAATAGGTACTAATTAATAAAATATAGGTGATAATAAAATTAGAGTACCTACTGGGCAGACGGCTTTCGTGTGTTTCTATTTTATATTAAAATAAAAAAATAACCGTCGAATCTGCTTATAGGCGTATAGCGTAGGTGTCCATTGGGATCTGTTAAATTTGAATTAAATGTTATCAAATCATCGAAAAATAAGATTCTGAGTGGTGGAGGCATAGGTTTAGTTCAGAATCTAAACATAATATAAGATTGGGCATTGCAATATTGTAAGGACAATTTGTGTAATAATTATTTATTTGTTTTTTTTTTTGCAGGACAAATTTAGCCGCTATCGTCGACAAACAGTCGACAGCACAAGCAGTACCATCGATAAAAATCCTGGAAATAAATACAGTAACAATGGGGAGAGCGAAACTTCCCGTAACGGCGACAGAGGGAACGATACTACTCTCATATATTTCATTACGCCTACGTATCCAAGGCGAGAGCAAATTGCAGAGCTCACCAGATTGGGTCAGACACTAATGCATGTCTCCCGACTATATTGGATTGTAGCTGACGATCGACCCGACTGCAGTCTACAAATAATGAACCTACTGCCAGATTTCAGTGAGACTAATGAATAATAATAATATGTTTTTAGTTACTTGCAATAGACTACAATACATAAGTCCCAAAAGTCCTGTACCACATCTATGATTAGTATCACCTTGGCAAAAAAATATATTTAAATGAAATTTTTTTTACAGTTATGAGTAGGTACCATCGAATGGCATAACATTCTTAAGCAGTTAAGTTTTAACATTTTCAAGATAGCCATTTTCTTGGTCGTATTATTTTGAAACAGTTTAAATAAAAAAAATATTAAAATAGAGTAAAAATCGACAAGGTTAAAGATAATTAAATTTTTAATTCGTTAGAATGCCTATTACCTAGTCTGTTAGCTATTATGTAAGCAAACACGAATCGCATAATTTAATCAACCTCAATTGGAATTCGGACAATCTGTAAATATCTAATCATCAATGGAGCTTTGCAAAAATATATAAATTGCAACATTATAATTAAAGACTAACGATATTTCACCTATTTCCAAAAAAGCAAGACATTAATCTGTTGATATTATACACTGTACGATGGTTTTTGACGATCCAGATATTTAATGTTCAATTCCATAGGCCACAGTCCACACCTTAGAAGCTCGTCTGCAACTTTCATTATTTCGGGAATAACATTTCACCATGTCGATTTAATAACGTACCTATAGAGAACGTAAAAATTATTTTTAAATGTAAAACAAAATAAGTACGAATTGAATTGATATAAAAAGACTCGCGAGATTGATTAAACCATTTAATTCGTGTTTTGCAAACAAAACAATTATTCTTACGAAGCCTTACGAACAACTTAGTTAGCTCTTGGTCAATTTTCACTGAATTAAAATTTTTATTCTTATTACTTTTTAAAAAATATTATAAAGAACATAGCAATCTTGAAAAATTAAAAAAACTTAAAAGCATACATTTTTTATTTAAATTTTGAAATAAAAAAATTTGAATCTTATTCCATTAAATTGGAATTTTCATACTAATTACAACTCATTTTAATATATTGATTTGCAACGGTAATATAAGAATGATACTGGACTTTTGTGACTATTGTATACTACCTCTATAGCTATTGGCTAGAATACTGTTACTTTTATCGTTGCACTTGGAATTGTTTTTTCAACCAATCAGAATAGGATTGGACAGGCTCCAAGCCCAGTAGTCAAATTTAGATGGCGGCCAAGAAAATATAAAAATTTATGTTCACAATTATCATTTTACAAACCACAGTTATTCGTATTATTTAAAAAATATAATAATTAACCAACATAACAATATTTCATTATCAACCACCAAAATAACTATTTGAAACATGCATTCCAGTATTGGACATTTTGTCATTTTTTTGAACTGCACTTTTGAAGCTTGGAAATGCATACAATTACTAATTATTATAAGTGCAAAAGAAATATCCTGGTGAGGTTATAAGGTACTTTGTACCTACCTAGTTAAGTACTCGAGTACCATTCAAAATCAAAATTTATTTAATATGTAATAATATGTTATTACTTAATATTATTATTGTATATTGTTAAATGTGGACTTATTATCATTAATAATTTTTTTTTTCATCAGGCATTCCTTACACGTATATTGCCAGCCCTATGCCATCAATATATAAACGCAACCCTGACGCCATGCCCCGTGGTGTTTCCAACCGTAGAGCTGCTCTCAACTGGATAAGACTGAACCACAACATTAATGACTCAAAGGCTGTCATTTATTTTGGTGACGATGACAATACGTTCCATCTGGACCTTTTCAAGGAAATACGTACCACAAAGAAAATATCCATGTTCCCAGTCGGCTTAGTAGGAGAGTATGGTGTTAGTTCACCAATTATTGATAAAGTTAGTTAATTATAATTTCTTAACCACATTAGCCAGACTAAACAATTTTACAAATATGTGACTTAATTACTTATCAAACCTTTATGATGTTAAGGGAAAAGTAGTTGGCTTTTTTGATAGCTGGCCTGCAAAAAGAAAATTTCCTGTGGACATGGCTGGATTTGCTATTAATGTTCAACTTTTATTCAAATATCCTTATGCTACTATGCCATATAAGGCGGGTTTTGAAGAAGACCGCTTCCTGTCTGCACTAGCTATTCGGTTAGATGAAATTGAACCAAAAGCAGAAAATTGTACCAGGGTATGTATAAATGATAAATTACACATAAGATATCTATAGGTGGGTATTTTATATCTAATCAACATGGAACTTGAGATATTAGCTTACAGAGGTTAGGTTTATTTTGATTTTGATTATAAAAAAAAGGCTAGGTATGTGTATTAAAAAATTATTAATTATTAATATTGTATTAAAATATCAAGGGTCTGTCCCGTTTATTATTATAATAAATAAATAAATAAATAAATAAATAAATAAATAAAATCTAATTAACCATTTAAAATGATTAGCTTACATCAAAAAAAGTAAGCTAACATTAAAAAAACAATTACATTAAATATATTTTATGCAAAATATATTTAAATTATTTGAATGGCAATTATTTACTTTTTGTTTGCTTTAAATACTTAAATTTATTTTAATTTTATTTCAACATACAATCATGTTTTCTATTTGTATTATTTGTATTCAAACCAAAGTAAAAATTATAAAATATTTTTCTATGCTCCCTGCCTACCTATATTATATTGTTTTTTTGGAAAGTAATTAAGTAAATATAAGTTTACTTATTTAATAAGCAATCTACGTGAGTTGAATAAATACAGAATTATTATTATATACTATAAATGAGTAAAAATATTGAGTATTTTAGATATCGTAAATAAATTAGTTGAGTTTGACAGTCAGCATTAGTTTGGTTATTTAAATTGTTTAAGTTTTGTTTAAATCTTACAATATTTGTGTTATCTTATATGGAATAATTTGTATAACACACACATGACATGATTGTCACAGATTTTGGTTTGGCACACTCAAACGGCAAAGAAACCTAAGCCAATAGTCATGGTCAAATCAAAAGCAACATTGCCTGGTTCACTTGCTACTCTACTCGATCAAGTGACAATGTTAGGTATAGCCGGAGTGAGCGAAACCACAGGTGGGCCAAAAGTTATATATAATTTTTAGTTTTTAAGAATACGAGTCCATGAGTAATTTATAGTTTAATTTATTTTAGGTGTTCGCAGTTATATGACAAAAAATGGTAATATTTTTAGGGTATAACCTCATATAACCTCATTTTTTAAAATATTTATGTAAAATGTTTTATTAGATAAAGAGTAGTATAATTTTTAGTATAGATTATTATAAGATTCTATTTAATTTCTTTTAATTTTGTGTTGTTACTTATAATATTATTGTTTTCACTTGTATATTATGTTGTTGTTGAAGTCATTATATTATAATATTGTTCATGTTTTTTTTATGTGTGAGTAATTTTGATGCTATATAAAATCAATTTTAAGTTTCAATACGAAATACTTTTGGTGGACAATAATTTTGTTTTATCACCAATTGATAGCTTCACTATTTTAAATTTAAATAATGAATTTATTTAATAAGAATTATTTTAGTTTATTTTCTAAGATGAATGTTATAACAGATTAGATTCAGTATTTCATAACTATGTAAAATGTAAAATGTAAATAATATATATAATATTTAATTTGATTTTTATTACTATATAAAAATAGTATACTATAATTAGTAATAGCCACTTTGTTGTTTCTTTATATTATCTTTTATTTGACAGCATTGATTTTACTCCGATTATTTCATCTAACAAATAATTTAGCAATCCCATAGTTTGATCTTGAACCAAAACTATGTCAAAAGCAAGTTTATATTGTTGCAAATATCCATCCTCGTGTTCCATCTGCAATTATTAATGTAATATATTCATATTATATAGAAAAATAATATTTATTCAAATTATGTATGATGCAAAAAAAAATATATGTTATTACCAAATCAGCGTTTAAAAATCCTATACGTAGTACAGTATCGTAAGGGATACCACCATCCATATTTGCATCTCCTAATGAATCACCTAAAAGGATAACATTGGATCTTCCACTTAAATGCGTATCCTGAAAAGTGAAAAAAAAATGTTTAGATTTCATATTTTACAAGTAAATATTATTTATTGTTGCTTTTACATTTTGATGTGCATCAATGTATGCATGTTCATTTTTGTTAAATACGTGTATGAGTTTATTTCCTCTGAATCCTTCAATTTTGGATAAACCATTTTTGTCTGTAGACATTTTTAAAAAATTTGACACTACCGATACATTATCAGTAAATAAATTTTCATGTATTAGTATGAGTTCAACAACATCACCAATGCCAGCAGATAAAACTATAATAGGTATTTTATTTCTGGATAATTTGTTAAACGCTTCAGTACTTCCGTCTCTAAAAAATATACACAAATATTTCAAATCAAAAAAGAATATAACATATGCAATATTTTATATTTTATAATTGCTAATGATATTTACTATTATAAATTTTAATACTTGCACTTTATACAATGAAGCAAAAACAATAAAAAAAAATACTGTTTAGAAACAAATACTATTATTTTTAATCTATACATTAGATTAAAGTCAATATGTTTAGTATTAACCTTAGACTCACTATTTATGGTATGTAAACATTTCTATTAATGATAGTCAGAATAAACAAATTCATAGATATGCATAGATAATACTATTCACAGAAGAAAACAATATTTGATTAATATTAAACACAAATTAAACGATTTGTTAAATATTATGACTATACTCTGGATTCATGTTCTTTAAGAAACCATAAATAATTTAAAAAAGTGAAAATAATCAATGAATCCCTGAGCTAGTCAGTTTTTAAAATTAAAAATTAAAAAAATTGTGTTCAAGATGCATATTCTTGAGAATAAGTGTTTTCTACATTATGCACCAAATTTCAGAACCATGTGAGAGATAAACTTGGTTGTAGATTACTTATACACACACAAAATTGCTTTTTATTAATACATAGATTATTGATGAAATTAGTGGTACTAAATAACTTGTGTAGTAAACTCTGTGCTACGTGCAACTTAGACATGTAAAAACATTTAACATATCTTATTATGTAAAATATAACTTTAAGACCATCATAGAAAACGCCAAAAAAGAAAACATTTAAAAATTCTTTTGAATATCATAAAACATTTACATTGTAGAAAATGATTAAGAAATACCTAAGATGAAGGTTAGCTTTCTCGATAGATTTATTAATATCTTCGTACTGGAAACACAGGCCTTTCAACAAAAGTTCACTTTGATGCCACCATTCTTCAATAAACGGTAACTTTTGTGCAACTGTCATTTGTGTGTTATCTTCGATTGGTCGATATTTTTGTAATAGTGTTCGTGCTTTTTCTTTATAATCTTCTGACAGACTGTCACATGCTTCAAATACACCTTTACAAGACAAAATTGTAATTATTTATTTATTATAAAATCTTTATTAGACTAATTAATGGCTATTTATAATTAATATTGGTATAATCATGTTTTTACAATAAGCAATAATTTATTACATTGAATTTAAGAATATCTGAAAATTATCTATTAGTGATTGTGAACAAAAACAGGTAATATTTGATTCAGTGCTTCATCTTTTATACATTTTATTTTTATTTTTAAAGCATCAACTACATGGTTATTAGTTGGTATTTACTGTGGAGGGGGCCAGGGGGGAGTATGATTGGTTTGGAACACGTGTATATGGGGCAAGGATTCGTTACTAAAAACTCTGGTGGTCACCCATCCGAGAGCTATAAACACCGGTCAATGATTGCCCTTTAGAACAAGTTAGTGACTGGTCAACCACCGTGCCGAAACAGGAGACCCCTTCTATACATTTTATTTATTAAACCTTTGAACTATCAACTAATTTATAAATTACAATATAATTTAAGATTAAAATATATGCGTTCAAATAACATGTCAAACAGTAATTGTAGTAAAATATTGTTTTTTTCTCCATCAACTCATTATTTTATAACAACAAATTATTAATGATTATGTTTATATTTCTTGTTATTTAAAAAAGTTGAATATATCACAATATTTTACTTCCTAGTTTATTATTTTATTTTCCATAAAATAAAATTATAATTTTAAAATAGTTTAGAGTGTAATATAACTGGACAAAGTTTAGTTGATATATTTTGGATAGCAAAGAATGCTAATAGCACTGATAATATGCGAACAAACATAACATTAAAATGAAACTTAATTTATTAAATTTTATACAATTGTCATATATATGGAGACCTGGTGTGGCACAGTGGTAGGCTGAGGTCATGCGTTGTTCAGCATCATTAACTCTCGGATGGGTGACCATACGAGATTTTAGTGACAAATCCTTGTACAACATACATGTGTTCCTCAATAAAGTAAGCCGTACAAAATACTAACGGCCATAGTTGCGGAAAAAATAATAATTAACAAAATTATAAATATATTTTGTTAATTATTTACATTTTATTCAATAACTTATTTTGTATTAATGTTTTCTAAAATATAAAAATAAAAATAAAAATAATAATAATACAAATTACTTTTACTCATTGCATACATGGTTTTATATTTTAAGCCATACTTATGAGGGCACTGCACCCATGTGTTGTCTATGTCTTGCAAATGTAGAACATAGCAAAAACGGTTTTACACAGGATTGAACCACTTAGTCTGTAGTCCTAGTAGACATCAAAAGTTTACACAATATAGAAGATAATATTTTCTGTGTTGTAGAGTTTTTATTTGTTTGATATCATTAATAAGAAAAAAGTTAATACTTTTACAAATCTGATATTTTTACGTTTTCCAAACTTAAATAACTTTTGATATATTGGTCCTATCAAAAAAATGAAAACGCTAAGACACAGTTTAAATTCTCCTCTATTTATGATGAAAATTTGATTTCATAGTTAGGTTAGCCATATAAGTTCTTTCCCAAACAGTTTTTGCCATGTCTTACATTTTTAAGGCAGAAACAACATGTCATGCGGTTGTAGCGTACTCTATAAGCTATATTTTAGGTTTTCAAAATTTCTGAAATTCGTCATTTATTTTGCTCTGTTTTTCTCAGAAATAATAAAAATGAGCATTCTTTAAATTGTTTATTAAATAAGTTTAAAATATTTAATTTGAAAAAAAACTTTTAGTTGATATGAACTGAATGACTAATTATTTCTTGGTATATATTATGTGTATTACATTACTTACATTTGATAATTATCTAAATGTTTCAATGTATCAAGTTTAACGAGCATTATTACAACTTATTTTATTTTATTTAAGATTGATTAATGAAATTAGAATTTGTAGAAAAATAAAACAAAACTTAAATTATTAACATATTTAATGAACTTTATAGTTTTAAGAAGGTAATACAATAATTCTATCATATCTTACACATGCCAATACCTATAAACAATTTTTAATTTATAGTTTAATATGTATTTTGTAAAAAAAATCAGTTTCCAATAATATAAATAGACATACTAAAACTTAAACCAAATACTTATAACATTAATTATGAAGGAGTATTAAGTAATATATTTGTTATTAATTTTCAACTTACTAAAACTACTCATGGTTTGTTTATTGTTATACTCTGAAGTAGTTATGGTTCGATCAAAATCTGATATTATCTAAAAATACATTAAGATAAACATTAAGTATTACTGGTATATAATACTACACAAGACAACGTTACTTGTAATTTATCTGGGCCGCCCGACACTAGTTGTTCAATCTTTGCGTTGACATCATTTTCACATCGGATATGAATTGTGGAAGCAAACTTTTGTTTGATCTACAGAAATACAATTTACAAATAGGTATTACATTATATTGATCATAAGTTGGTTATCAATCTAAAACTCGGTCCATAAGGCTGTATGAAAATTACACAAAACGTACCTCATCGATGAACTTCATGGCTGAACGAGGACGTAAATCGAACGTGTGAAGTGAGTGAAATGGCTTGATAGCGCTTATTTCCACGTCGATCAATTAGGTATAACGACAACAAAAACTAACAATTATTATTGACGTGTTGTGAGAACGGTGTCGAGCAACAAGTGCACAATGTCCGTCACACGAAAGGAAACAAACGTCGTCAGTACTGAACCGTGTGAAACCGCGGGGGTGACGACAAGTCGTGGAGGTTCTCGACGATTGCCTGTCGACGGCGGCGGTCGCGATCGGATGTCAGGCGGGACGACTTTCGGCCTCTACGCGACGACGTCGATATCGGACTAATAAAACTATTAAAACTGACCGATAAAAATGTTATTGCAAGTACCTACGTTGTAATACAATTACGGAGCTAATCGCGTGACACGGTCGTCACGTAGCAGGAAAAGAATATTATGTTCGTGCAAATATCACCATAGATTATGGAATTATAGCTACCTATTAAGATTAGCACCGGTCAACGGTACACCGGTGCGTCGTCCGTCACGATGACGCGGCAGATAAGGCGACGAGATTGTGGCGTTGCGCGTCGTGGCTACTTTTACAACAACAATATAGGTACCGATTACTAATTATTATATAATAGGTTTTAACATGATGTCAACTGTAAACGATCGCTGCCGCTGTACAAAATACAAAATAAGATGTACAGTTGTAGACTTACAGTCATAACGAGCGGCGCAGCGACTCGGGGTGACGGGTCTTATCGTCGCAAAATCTCAACGGGCTATACACGAGCGACATGGGATAATGATATATTTATGATGTATTCCATGTGAGGTGACTATCGAATTACAAGAGCCGCTCCCTAAGGATTTTAGCCGTTTGGCATTGTTTTCCGAGTAATTCATAATTATTGTATGTAGGTATTTGGATACGGGGCCACGCCGCCACGGCGCTATCGAAGTGATAAGGAAATTAATTGTTATTTTATTAATTGCTGTCATCGTGTCAAAATCAGAATTTTCTGAATTCACCAGTCACTGCGCACCCGACGATACGTATAGTATGTGAAATTTGAGCACTAACAATCATATTGTGCTTTTTACATTTTAATATAAATAATTCTAGTCAGCCGCGTTATCAACATTCAAAATGTGCATATTGTTCGATAACAACAAGACGGACAATAATCGGTCCCCGGAAAATTGTTTTCCTAAAAAAAAAAGGACTTATTTGGATACGTGTATAATGTATATGTGAAATATATCCAACTAACCTAGAATATGAGCCCATTCCCGCAGCAGTTGTCCATTTTCCTCTAAAATAAAAATGGATTAGATTCTATTTTCCTACAGACATTAAAATATTCAGTCGATATTTGTGTAAAGAAAAACGATATTATATTTTTATGTGGCTCGAAATACATTTGTTAAACAAATTTAAACTGAGATCACCGAGCAGACGATGAAATATTTTTGACTTCCGCCTTTTTGCATTTTAAAATTCTATGATAACAAATCTTCGTAAACAACGACAATGATACCATTCGACATTTCGATCGGGCGTTCATAATTTCACATAAAATTGAAGTACAAATAAATGTCAATATTCGACTTTTATAGTTGTGTCCTTTTTCATAAGAACCGTCCAATTTAGAGGTACCGTTCAATGTTAATAATTTGTAAGTATTTTTAAAACTGACATATGCTCTCTTGCAGAAAATATTTTTGACTTGTGCCTTTTTGCATTTTAAAATACCATGAGAACAAATCCCCGTAAACAACGACAATGATACCTTTCGATACTTCAATCGGGCGTACTTACATCATTTCACCCAAAATTAAAGTGCAAAAAGTGTCAACATTTGACTTGTGTCCTTTTACATAACAATTTTTGGACGCCGTGGCTGCACCTCTAAGATAATAGCTTCACCGCTGTAGTTTAATATACTACGTTTATTTCATTTTTTCATTTTAATATGTTTTAATAACCTATCCTCATTAGTCATTACCCATATTATATATTAATATAATCTATAAGTGCAGCCAGTGCAGGTAGTCTATTAATTATTGATAATTTGCTGATATTTTAAGCCATAAATGTATAGATTAGTTTGAAATTCTATCGTCGTACACACGACATACTGAACACACAGAATATGAGTCGAAAGCGAATTACTACGGCTGATGTCACGTCGTTTAATTATGATGGTAATATTATAATATATAAAAGTACAATGTTAGTTCAGTGGTCTACCTGCCTATTTATAAGCGATTTACGAGAAGCCATGAATCGTGGGATAGTCTTTAATTTCTATACCTAGTACAAACTTTGCAAAGAGAGAATGCTTTCGATTGTACTTGTACGAAGTTATTACCCATTTGCATTATCTTATTACTACTGGCCGTATTAGCACAGAACAAAAGACATATCGCATAATGTATTCCAATATAGCATTTACACATTATTTGTGTGTGTGTGTTCCTTGATGTATAACTATAGCCTATAATTAAGGATAATTATTATGAATATTAAATGTAAACGGTTGTCGATACAGTAAATAATCAAATGCAGACTGCAGTTAAAAAATTGATACGAATGTCGAAATAATATACACATAATACTTGCAGCCAGCGATCATTAGTTGTATTAGTCATTTCTGAAAGGAAAAGGTTGTTCTGTGTTATTTTATAAGTTTGAAGGAGCATTACGATAACATTAATGTTTTTTTAAAGGTTTTTGACATAATGACTTACAATAAAAATGATAATATACATTAAGCAATATTGTATACTATAGTTTTTAAACGAATTAAAAACACGTTTATTTTACATTTTGGTTAACTTTATTTTAGGCTTATAAAAATTAAAAATATGTTATAAATATTTATGTTGGTATTTTTTTCAAAATATCTATGTACTCGTACTAAAAAAACATGAAATATTTATCAGAAAGTTTTATTCGACACGAATTTGAAAAATTTCATGCATAAATGAAAAGTACTGGATAGAAAAACAAATGAACAAACTACAGCAACTACTAACTAGAGTAGGCAAATAAGCAATAGATTGTAAAACAGATAATATTACAGTGAAATAAAAATACGTTCACCTATTTTATCTTATTTATTACCTACGACGTTCTTTACTACGATTTACTACAGATTGAACAGATTTCTCACGTAATAATGATTATTGTCAATAATATGTCTGCATTTGAATAGATAAATATAAAAATTAGTAATATATTATAGTATAGGCACTATACCTATATATTCATGTCTACCCGGCTATAATGAAATAATGTAATCGGTTATCGTACTCAGACGGCTAATACGAATTTGATACTGTACACGAAAATGAGGAATTCATAGGTAAACACTAGACTTGCCAAATTAATAAATTATTCAAGAATTTCAGATTCTAATAATGATCAATAATATTATAATTTGTAATGCACTACGTCCATCGCATGGCTGGTATAGGTACTCATATTATTGTTTTTGTGCATAGTTTTACTGCTTATAGGTCATAAGTGTAACATAGTATTATTTTATCGTCACACTATAATAGTATACAATATAATCATTATTATGTTTCTCAGTGCTGTAGCTAGAATTCTGGGACGGTGCAAAATTAATTGTCCTAGTCAAAAAGCTTGAAATGTAATACAAACTTCTTCTTAAGAGGACGGTACAAGAGAATTTGTTGTCTCCGTCTTACAAGTGCTTAACATGGCAAATTTGACGCTAAGCAGATCACGTTTAGCTCCGTTTGCTTAAAAATTAGGGTAAATTTATCATATTATTATTATGGGCATCTCATAATTTTTTTTAATATATTTTAATTTTTAAGAGAGCTATGAGTATTTTAAGATGTACAAACAATTTACAATTTTAAAACACTCATAACTCGCTTAGAAATTAAAATATAATAAAAAGCCTATGAAATGCTTTAGATAATAATCTCACTTTCAAATTTTATAGGTGGTAGAACACTCTAATTTTTAAAATAACAGAGCTAAACGTGATCTGCTGAGCGTATTATTCGCTATGTTACGCGCTTGTATAAGACGGAGACAACGTGTAGCGTACTCGTAAGTTGTTATTACAGTATTTTACAATTATATTAAACATAATAATATGGGCGCAATATTATTTTTTAGGAGCTCAGGTTTAAATTTTATGGACATCGAAACGATACTTTCTTGTGACATGAAACATTTGGTTATTGGGTAAATTATGTAATTATACATTCATACGTATCTCAGAGAATTACGATTTACGGCGTATGTAATTATTATTTATTATTACTATTATTAATATTCTGCGATAACTGATAACTGATAAGCACATGCAGCTGTATTATAGATAACGTTCCATACGTCTTCTCGTAAGCATCTTTCTAACCACGGTTTTGGTAACAGTGTGTGAACGAGACCGCACCGAACATACACTGTATTGCCCCAGGCCGTATACTGTATTAGCTGCGGCGGGTCTGTCATAGTGGTGGTAAACGATACATGCACGATCGGGGACTGATAGTTGATACCGCTATTGGAGGTAGTAGTCAGGCTGACAGTATCGCCGCGTCTGTGCGAAAGCGTGTGTAGTGTGTGGTACTGTGGTGTGGACACCGGACGCGCAGTTCTCGTTTCACACACTGTTCCTGCCGCCGCCATTTGCTGTCTCAGAGTCGACCCGTTAGGTAGTGTTTGGCTGACATTTTATTTTGCTGTTCCATGAACCGTGTGTGACGCTGTTTGTTGTAGAGCAGTCGCCATATGCATTTTGTCACGTTTTATAACAACATTTTTCAGTTTCTATCGTGCGTGCCAGTGCACATTTCACATTAGTAATAATTACTATCCATCGAAAACGTCTCCAGATTCGACTTCGTAAAATTTTGTCTACTATTATTCAGGTAACATCATGCTGTTAACGTTTAAACCACCGTTTCACTTCTCTATGCCCAATACAATCTCGCTATCTTTGCTTCACTTTACTTCGCTTTGCTTTTACGTGAGTGCGCTTGCTGGGAATCTTGTTAAAACAAGTGTTTTTACCCTCGGTTCGAATGCGCTCTGGTATCTACCTGCCACCTGCTACGTAAAGAAAAAGAATGTTTGTCTTTTAGGCTAGAATTAGTGCTCGACCGACGGTCAGCGCTGACGGCAGTCAAGCGTAGATATATCAAAGGATGCATATGAACAACTACAGTGCAGCGCTGAAAAGTTGATACCTGCGTACAGCTACGTCGTGCTGACGAGGACCGTCAGTCGAGCTTGTCCGTCAGCGTGTACCGTCGGCGCCGACGGTACGCGCTGACCGTCGGTTGAGCACTAAGCCTAGCCTTAGTTTTATGTACCGCCTCTTCCATTATCACGATCGGTGTAATGCAGATTGATTCCGTTAAATTGACTTCTATAGGCGACTTTATGGACATTTCCAAAACATTTGCTTAATTTTTTGGCCTTAGTAATAATTATTATCCATCCTAAAAGTTTTCGGATTCGAGTTACCACTCATGGAATTTTACTACAATTATTCAGGTTACATTATGTTGTTGATGTTTAAGCCGCTGTTTCTCTTCTCTGTGCCTAATACAATCTCGCCATACTTTGCCTCACTTTGCTTTACTTTTCTTTATCAGGCACGTGTATCTAGTATCACGTCACTAGTAACTCTGTTGACAAATGTTTTTTACCTTGTTTTGGAACCTGCCACGTATTGAATTATTAATTTTGTATTTTAGTTTGTAGGCACCTACTCTCCCATTCTCACAACTTTGTTTTTACCTTGGTTCATTATTGGTATTATTAAATATTTTTACTTGGCATAGTAGGTACAACCTACATTCAAAACCACAAATACAAAAGATATATATCTTAATTTGTGTACAGAGCATAATATTATAAATTCATTTTTGAAATAGAGTAGAGTTTATTATTATTTTTTAAGAAATCAAATGATCTAATCTGTAGATTATGTAAATTATAAAGAATAGCGGTTAACTTCTTTTCGAGTAAGATGCAACCTTTCTACTCACTAACTTTTTTCTCTATTTCTATTACTATTCAAACAAATTTCTCACTATTCTCACTTTATACAATGTATCGATTGCAATGCCATAATGATCAAAACTATCAAATGATTTGTTAAGAATATGAACATTTTTCCCAGTTTTCCACATGCACAACATTATTAATATTATGTTTGAAGCACGATTATAAAGAACAGGTTATCCATTGGAATTAATATTTGTGGTCAGAATTTGTTGTGGTGGTATAGTTCTTCAAACCCCCGATAGCTGCAAGTCTTTCGTGTTACATATAAACATTTTTCTATACAAGCAATGTTGAAGCTAATTTTTTAATTTATAAATTAATTAACCTTTTATTTTAATATTAGGGTTATATTCGTAGGCAATTCATAGACCTGCATTTTGGTTCCGTTTTTAATTTGGGCCCTACTAATGTATACAAATTTTGATATTTAAATTATTTTTCATCAAACTAATTGAGTTATTTTATTTTAATTAAAAAATGTATTAATCTTATGAATTTAAAATTCACTTTTATGTATTTTTTTTTAGAGATACCTAGGTAGTGGAATTTTAAAAATATTTTGACGTAGTTAGAACTATTTAAAATTGTTGATTTTTGTTTTGTTTTTACGCAGCTCATGTTTAAATAATAATACTTTGATTCTTGTTTGAGAATTCTGAAAAATGCATACTAATTTAATTAAAGGTTCTTTATAATTTTTTCATAGAAGAAATGTAGCTTAATTTACAAATTTTTTATTAATGTGTGAAGGTTCATTGAGTATTTAATAAAATATTTGTTAAATACTTGATGGTTGAGTTCATGATTTTTAGGAAAAACTAAATTTTTTTGGTATTTGACTTATATCTTGACATACATTTTATGACACAGCATGATCGAGATTCAAGAAAGTATATTTATTAATTAATAAACTCGAGGAACAAATACTTTACCGTGTAGTGTGTGCCTGATGCTGACATTTTGTTAGAGCATGTTTAACTAGCAGTGCTTACCTAGTGATAAGTAGTCAAACTATACCACTGTCACAATTTCTGACCGCAGTTGTGCTATACAAACCCACTACTGACGTTTAGCCTGTTCTTTATAATCGTGATTTGAATAGTGAAGACATAGAACGGTGATATCATCTCAGATGTATAGTCTACATGATAACGTCCCATGGATATCTAGTAAAATGTCGGAAAAATAAAAATGATATTAAAACTCAATTTCTCCTAATGAAATTGTGTACACTCGATGATAACATTACTAAAAATATATTGGATTAGTGATAAAATAATTATTTTAATAACAAGTTAAATATTGTTTAAAAAAAAAACCGGTTTCTAATTGTTAATTTATAATCATAATATTAAAGGATATAGTCAAATTTAAACTATGTTTTAAATTTTTTTTGTAACATAATAAATACACGGTGCACCCTAACTGCTAATGCATCGTGTCCATTTTATTATATATCACCTTGACTTCATATACAAGTATTTTTTTTAACACTCTAACTCCGCATACTAGGTTTATTATTAACACTGTAGCTCCTCTCACATGTTTTATATTTAGGAAAAAAATGTATCACTTATATTTATATCAAATATTTTAAATCGTAATAATAACTATAAAAACTAATTATCTAATAAAAATAATAATCCTAAAGACAATTTACAACAATATCATCGTCAGCAGTATAAAATTAAATGTAATAAAATTATGATATGAATTAAAACTAAATATTATTAAATGAAGCAAAACTTTTTGCAAAATTATATTTATCGATTTGATTGTTGTATAATTCTATTTTTTTATTTATAAAATCCATATTAGTTTTTTGTTGACCTCTAACTATCCTACTTATTATTGGCAGAACTCATTCGTATGTAATAGTCTGTCTGCATAACTAATACATTTTTAATGGAAACTGCAATATTTGTTGTTCTCTCCCATGTCGCTTCTTTGTTGGAAATGTTTCATCGTTTTGTATGTATATTTAAATAAAACTAATAGATTTGTTATAAATTAATAATATATAAGCAACTACTAGTTGGAAAACTGACCAGTGATCACTGTAGATTCATTGAGTCACAACGGTGTGTTTATTTTTTCTACTGTGCGGAAATACAGTGCATGGGAAGCTACAGATTCATAAAATATTTTTATTCATGCGCAGCTACTGTGCGTCCTAAATACACCGCTTCGGAGCGTTATCTAAGGTGTTGCAAGATATTCTTATACATACCTAAAATTTATCAAGATTGTATTTTGGCCTGACTATAATTTGTCTATGCCTGGCAAAAATAATCTTTTTTTTTTAATGATAAGGTCTTAAGTATCAGCATTTATGGCCATGTGATATTATTATTAATATATTATTTGAATGAAATATAAAAATATAAAAATGTTTGGTCTATATTAAATATTTTATGTGAGACTGAGGATTTCAAGATTTCAAGACGTGACTAACTTAGTGTTAGGTATACAGTATTCATAATACATTAGATTAATAGGTTTGGCTTTTGTATGTACTAATGTAATGGCTGATAATTATGTAAAATGAACTCAATACCTATATTTTAAATTTGGATTCACTATATTTATCAAAATACTCTCTATTAATTAGACTTTTAGTCAGTGAAAAGCCTAGGACTAAAATGAAAATAGAGGTTGGAAATTCTTGATTGATACTTATGAATAAAATGCTGCTCGATTTACATTATTCTAAACTTATACTTTATTTAGGTTAAGAGTTCAAAAATCTGTTTTTCCAGATTTATATAAAATGCTACATATATCACTTTCTGTTTCCACAAGATCTGCATCTAGTGACAACATTTTCAGCAATGCGTCAAATAAATAATTTTATAATGTCACCAAATCTATAATGTAGTATAATGTTTATTATAGTTGTTGATGTCGAAAGAGATTTATCAAAATATGTTCTAAATAAGGGAAGATATTTTAAAAGATTAACTAATATTAAGTGGAGGCTTAAACTTTAATTACTGTAGTATTATAATGTTACCCATATAAATTCTCTGTCTTTCATTTATATTTTAAGAAAATTAAATTAATAACTTGAATTTTTAACTACCTAAAATAACAAATTTTAATAATTTTGTGTAATCATTTTTTTTTTATAATTTGTATTATGCACACTGAAATGACTGCAACTTGAATGACTTCTCTTATGAACTGCTGGTTTACCACCAGTTCAACTTAAAAAAAAAATGTATGATAATTGGGGTGCCCAGGTTTGAATGCAAAATAAGTTATTTTTTCCAGAAATTGGTTTTCTAACAAACGTTTTTTCATAAATCAGAAAATTGAGATTTTGAATTTTTTTGAATTATTAGCAGCTTAAATGTTTTTGTGTTTTTTTTATAATTTAGGTAATTTTACTAATTTTTCGAGAATATTTATACATAATATAAATGTATCTTAATTGGTAAATGGTAATTCAAAATATTAGCCCAAGAAATTTGGTTGTGATAATTTGATAACGTCTTTATCTAACTACAGCTTATTAACTGGACTCACTACTTAATACCAGTAACAACTAATTAGTCAGTTGTTGTGTTACATTAAAATATCTTATTTCGTCAAGTTTGTATTTTTGGATCATTTTTTTGTCATTTTTGCTCTTAAAATTAATTTTTTTATAGTCTTTAGGGCATTTAAATCCGGGCCCTAATTATTACACAATTATAGATTAAAAGGTAATTTGTAGTACCTTTTTGTTATAATTTTACGTGTATTCAATACCTATTTTAGTTTTTTTTGTGTGCTTGTCTTCTGTATACTTGTATAAAATATTTTATCATTCAAGTTTTTGAATCACATTGTAATATAATTATTCACATTTTACATTAAAGTAGGAAGTTAATTTGCCAGGTCTAACGTACAGACAAGTATTAAAAGAGCACAAAAGAAAAATATGTTTTCTTCAAATTACTTTTTAATATTAAGTTATTGTAGTTAGAATTATTTAAAACGATTTAGGGTATTCAGAACGGTCGGGTGACGTCATTGTGCCAGGCTCGATATAATTGCTTTGCTTATACATTTAAAAGTTGCACCCTTCACATAATGATATTTACCCTTTTAAAAATTGTATTTTTGATGTTAAATTTACTTACAATTGTGTGATATTTTGTGTTAAAAGACTATATTATATCATCGATTATAAGAAATTCAATAAAACGTAAAATGTATACTTATATATAATCATTGATATAAAAACATCCAACTACGTTAACTATAATGTTAATGATAATAATATTAATCTCTTTTAAGCAGTAAATTCAAATAAGATTATGTTTATATAAAATATATAGTTATATTAATACATAATTTTTTTTTTTTTAGGAGTCATTGAAATTTTAAATATGTCGACCGAATTGGATCAAGAAAAAATTGATGAAAACGTACCTGCTGTTTTAAAGGAGGACCAAGGAAAAATCGATGAAGATGTACCTGATATTCTTCTAAAGGAATCAGAACTAAAGCAGGAAGGAAGTGATTCTACGTCAGTTATTATTATAAGTGATGCAGAGGATGAAATTGACTTAACCTGTCCTACACCTAAAACTGTTCCTATGGCTGTACCTATAAATGGACTATGCCTTAATAATCTGAATAAACTCGATTCAGAGGTCGTTGAAGAGATGCGCTGTTCATCTGAACCAGTAGCTAGTTTATCCATCATTGACTTGCCTCAACCTAGGCGATATGAATCTGTTCCGAAAGATACTCGTAAATGTCCAGTAATTATAGATTATATTGTGATACAAGATTCTGATACAGAATGCGAAAATGCATTGGAACAAAAACCAAAACGACCTCTTAAACGCAAAAGAAGTCTGATACCTACCAATATCGAGGTCGAAAATACTAGAAAAACCATGAAACCCGGACCTAAATCTAAAACTAGAAACATTGTAACTGTCCATCAAATGATAACTGAGGCCAAAATGAGGGGAAAGGACGTAACCCTCGACTTTAGTGACACTTCCGAGGATGAGATTGATTTGGATTCTGAGGATGGTTCAAGCGAAGAAGCAAGTAATGAGGACGAGGAAGAAGAGCTATTACAAATAGATTTAGACGATTATGAAGATAGCGAAAACAGTAATGAAACTGATGACGAAAATGAAATGGATGAAGATGAAGAAGAAGAATTACCAACTATTAAAATAATTGGTGATTGTATAACTATAACTTCAAGTGATGACGAAGCAGACAATTTAGAACCTGAGGTTGGAGAATTAATAGTTGGTAATGAGGCTAGTACCTCCTCTGATAATTTTGCTATGGAAATCCTTTTGAGTCTAAGTAACGAGGTAACAATAAATAAAAAATCAAGTGAAACATTAGATAAGAGTGATGAAACTGACGTATTAGAAAATGTTATTGATTCAAATAAAATGGTTAATGATAATAAAGCATTAGAAAATAATGCCATTGAACAAAACAAAATTGAAGACAAGAATGTAAAAAGCCATGAAATTAAAAATGGAGAATAAGGTTAATTTTTCATTTCCAAATCAAAAGTTGTAATATATAAGGATGAAGATAATTATGCCTAATGATGTTTTCAAAAAATAACTCAAATATTCCAGATGAAGAATTCAACGATTTCAACAAATTAAATAATGTCCATGTTTGAATATCAATAAATGTATCACCACAAAATTTGTAAATATTTTGTTAATGTACCTTAAATTAGAATTGAAAGGAATGTATGTATAATTATTATATGTAACAATATTGTGATGTTGTTAATTCTTATTCTTCAACATAAGAAATATCATTAATTTAATACTATTTGTTGTAAGGTTTTATTTAATGTTAAGAAACTAAATGTAATTTTATTTATTAAAGTATTGATGTTTGACCAATATCATCTCTCAACAATTTGTTCATTTAACTTATGTTAAGAAAAATAAGTCAGATATTTTAAACAAATTATACTCATCAAGTATCATCTGATGAGAATAAAAGAGGTTAACAATATTAAGTATCTATTATTTGATTTGAAAATATAAATAATTAAAATTTAATATGGACATTCTACCTATGAAATCATACTATTTCAGGTGTATGGCATAACAATTAAAATTATTATGTATAATTATTATTGTAAATGATTTAATTAAGGCAAGACATGGACTCACTGTAAGCAATACATGAAGTTTTTCTCAACAAATCACTTACATTTTCCTCTAGGAAATCCGGTTCCAAAATAACTTAAAGATTTATGAATTGAAAGTATTCCAAACCATAAATAAATAAAACCTCTATACATTTTTTCAATTAGGCTAATTGAAATAATTTTTTTTAAAGAATTATAAATTTAATAGTCCATTAATACGAGTAGACTTACATAATCTTTATATACATTATACATACTAACTTGATCAATATTAACCATTTTATCATATTTTTATAATGACTGTAAAAATGGATAATTACCCTTTGACAAGGAAATGTTAAGATTCATCCTGACAAATGGTTGAGCAATATACATAAAAAAAAAAAATAGTATATTAGTAATATGAAATATAAATAAAAAATGGAAATACTTTATATTATATCAACTTATGTCTATTGCTTATATTGACGAAAAGTTTGTAGCCATGGTTAGGTTAAAAAGAGCCAAATCATATGGTACCTATATGATGAATATAGTTAACACAAATATCAATATCACGATTATAACTGCAATACCTCATATAGTCATATCTAACACTTTTTAAATAATTAATACATTTAAATTCAATAATAATAATGCATATAATTTTTATAATTAATTAATAATAAGATTCTTATCATAGGCTTTAAGGTGGTTTCCAATACTTGCCCTCCACACTCCAGTTGGTTTCCAGTACACTATCTTAGTCTGTGGTGTTATATTTAAGCATGAACTAAGATATAATTATATCTAAATTTGTGTATACATGACATCATCATAAAATAAAATACCTATGTGGTATTGCAATACGTTTATAACTGAAAAATAAAATAAATAAAGGATTTTGGTGCTGTCATGAAATTAGATTATCTAAATAATAGTTCATGGTGCCGTCAAGGTGGATATCCTACATATGCTTACTTATTATTATCCACTTTTGGTAGTTGGGTACCTACCGTAGATCGTATACCCAATCAACAGTATTTATAAAGATCTTGAGGACAATCTTCTCTGACGATAATCACGGTTACCTTGAGTCGTTACCATGTATTGATAATAGCCAACTAGACAAGTAACAAGTGAGTAGTGACAACAGTCACAGTTCCTAATGTGTTCTTGATTCTCGTTCATAGTCTATAACAAATAAAGGTAATCATAGAATATTCAATAATCAATACAGATCTAGGCTCTTGTTGACCATGACGCTGCTCATGGTACAATAATCATACCTGTTGCAACTTATTATTTAATTTGTACTGTGCAGACTGTAATTTGTACTGTCAATCAAATTGAATATTTTGTTTAAATTATTTGTTTTGTCATTGTTTTAGCATCTATCAACCGTTGTTTCACAAATTTCAACACAATTCTGGTTTCTCTTGTTATGTTGGGCTTATGTACATCTGAGATTGCCAGAAAAGAATCCAAATAACAATGAATTTGTAAGAAGTAACATCTTGGACGGTAAAAATTTTTACATGCAGATTCAACAGATTACTAAAGGTGTACACGTCCTCTATTATATTATATTTATTAAATCAACAAATCAAAGGAAAAAAAATACTAATTGTTACTTTTAATTCTATAGGTTCATTCATTGAATCTCTTTAATGGATTCATCTGCAAGAGTGGTCACTGTTAAATTAATCTTACCAACTAAGAGATATTCTTGTTAAATTTTTCGATTGTATTTGTATTACCAACTTTATATTTTCCTTAACATACTATAAGTGATGAAGAATAACAAATAGTGTAAGTGAAGTACAATTAATGTCATTTAATATTCAATAACACATATTATTACATACCAGATAAATCTTATAAACTAAATTATGGTAATAGGTCACATGAATAAAAATTCCTTTTAACTCTTGGATTAATATTATAATTATTATGATTATGTGACATCATTTTTGCCAATTTTGGATAAGTAATTAGTATGCATGTACTTATAGGTGATAGAAACTTTATTTAGTTATTGAAAACCTAGTTAAATGATACACAAATGTTTTTTATTCGTTTTTGGTACATTTACGTTACTAAAATCAAATTGAATGATTTGAGACAGTTACTATTTTTACAGTGTACAGTGAGTGGCAGCGTTCTTTTTTTTTAGGCGTAGCTCTGTTGATTGTTTATTGGTCAAGGTTCTACATTGAAGAGCCCTGAAAATACAAATTTTTTGCAACTTCTTTCACAATTAAAATAAAATAATAATACTAACTACAGTTAATTATTTTTCAGGGTCTGAAAACTGGTTGGTTGGAAGTATACATAAAAGGTTGGAAAAGGGAAAGCATACTTACTGTTTAAAATAAATCCCCCAACTGACAGTGAAACACAAGAATTACCAGATAGTAAAATAATTCTATGAAAAGAGGGTTGTTTATTATGTTGGATAAGAACAATAATATTCAAATATAATTTTTTTAATAATGTCTTATGTATCTGCATAATTGTGCAGTGAATAGGAATAATTGTGTACAATAATATACCTACTTAAAATAATAAAAGTTATAATTAAAATAATATCAATATGCATATCTAATATGTTTACATGTATACATTGAGATGGATAATATATACTGGAGCGCGGACTCACCATTCTACTAAAAATAGTTGTCCGAATTCCGCTCCCCTCAACATTGAAAGGCAAAACATATGATTTTGACCTATAATAGACGTGTAGAAACGATTATTTTTGTTCATAAATTTTAATTTATTCCAATTATTTTCTTATTTAAATAATTTTAAATTGTATAAAAATGTATTAATCTAATTTAATGTTACTATACTATACGTTTAATGTGTAAAAATGAAGTATTTGCCATTAGGGGGGGGGGGGAGGTAACGTCAAATGCTACGGATCATGTTTACAGCTGAGTCCGCGCTTCACTATATAATAATTATACTAATCATTTCTGTTTTATAGGATATTACATTTTTTTAATTGCCAAAAAAAGTAATAGTATTAAAATAATAATTATTAACTATTAATAAACAAAACAATTGTTTTTTAATTCAGTTGTAGTGAAGTATCCACCAAGCAATTTTTGATTCATTTTCTCCATAAGCTTATGACAAACTTTGTTACATAATTATTTATACTTAATTGGTAAAAAATAAAAATGCATTCCTCATAAATCATAATTATTCTATATTTGTAATGCAACACGCCTACCTCGTTTATTTAAACTTAAGTGGCTGTCGATAGGTATAAATAATTCTATCCAGTTAAGGAGTAGTTGGTTAGCTATTCCCACTATACGAACCGATTCTGTGAACCGTGTTGTTCAATTGGTACAAATAAAGTTTTCTAAGTTATATTTTACAGGTCCTAGAAACTTATGACCTGCGTTCATAAACTAACGCAATTGAACGCGATATAGCAACTTACACAAGGTTTATTAAATATTTGAATAGTAATAATATTATACAGTACACTATCACCTGAGTAACCCTGTTCTTAAGGGTAGTATATTGAAGATCACAGTAGTTGCGGAGCCCGAGTTGAAACAATTAAATTATTATGTTTTATCTATAAAGTAGGTTATTATAAATATAGTACAGGGTAAAATCTTAAATAGTTTAAGATACATGTTTAGAATAGAATACTATTTGTTATAAAATTAGTAATTTAATAATTTAACATTGGTATTTTATGTAGGTAAGTAAGGTCGAGATTACTATGCAGTGCTTATGTGTACTAAAATTTTAGATGCATAATGTTATTTCAAGAAATCAACAATTAAACGTTTAAATCAATAGGAGAAATACATAATACCCTGAAATGATCAAAGCTAAATGCATTACACAGTACAACCAGTAAAAATGTAAAATTAATATAGATAAAATATATACATTCCAGTACATTACATTTTTTGAAAGTTTGAAAAAGTCTATCTGTTAGAGTATTATAACCACAAATATTCTAGAAATCATACATTTATAAAAATCACAATTTGATTAAAAAATTACTTAAAATCTGGTTATTACATAATTTGTTCAAGTACAAATAAACAACATGAGTTATGTAATTTGTATTTAACTCACTTTTTTAGGAGTTTATTTTATAAAATCACATGAGTAATTATGGCAGATGAAATTAAAATTTATTAATAAAATGTAACAAATATTTAGCCTAAATATTGCCTATACAAAACTCCTTACAAATGAATCACATCAATAAAAATAATTAATTTGAGTTGGTTAAACTTAAGTGAATGTTAAGTTATTAGTTAATATTACTTAGTAGTATTAACAACCAATATATATTTTTCAAATTTGAAGATTTTCTTGATGCAATTTAATATATTTTAAATAATTACTATAGGTAATATAGGAATGGTAATTAATTCTTAATTAAATTGAGGGGCTTACAGCAACTAATGACAAATAAAATAAAAAAGTTTGGTCACACCAATGTAATCCCTTGAACGTCATTTTGTAACTTTTTAGAAA